TTGAAGAATTCAGATTATTAACCTTGCTAAAATGGCAGTACATGGAAAACCTTTGTTAATAGTTGTTCTGTAATACAAAAATAGTTTTCATTTTTAGAAAATACTTTATGTCAAGAATGCGAATAAGGGCTCACAATGGGATTTTCTTCCATTATGACAATTAATTATATTTTAATTGTCTTCATATAAAATTCTGATACGTAACTAGACATTAAAATATCCGGAATCTCTTATCAAACTACCTTACATATTTGCTGTCTTTCTGTAAGTCATGGATATGGTATAAAATATTAAAATCAGAATTACTTCGGTGCAAAGTTTATTGTAGGAATTTATACAGTCTTGACTCGCATATGGTAGGTTATCTTTGTTAAATATGAATTTTCGAAAGAGTAGAAACGCACATCTAAAATATAGTCCTCTCCTTGCCACAGTGTAAGTTGTAGTCTAGATAGAACACTGAAACTTAATGTGATGTTTTTTTTTCAATATCCTTTAATGATTAAATAAGGAATTCTTGCCGGATTCATAGAGTTCTCTTTCATTCCTAGCAACATCAAGTTTCGGTTTCGCACAAAGTTTATGTCATCCTTGTTTTCTGTTTGTACTTGTTTTAAACTTCAATGAGATTTAACTGTTTTCAATATACTTTCGAATGTTCCATGTCGAAACGAAGTGTAAAATCTCATCTTAGACAAGGTTTCTACAAGTTATGACTGCTTCTTTTGAGAACAGTACATTCAAGAAAACAGTCAAGTCTCTGCTTCTAAAGTTGGTTATTCCGAAAATGCAAATGAGGAAACATTTAAACAATAAGAAGAACTTTCCCTATCCTTAGCAATACTACTTTGCGAAAGTAAATTATGAGAAAATTAGGACTGTTAACAACATCACATAACTGATTTCAATCCATTCTTTGCTACTCGTTTATGTTCAGGGGCCGCTGTTTTTTTTAGTTTGCGGGGGTGGCTAACAGGTTTTTCCAAGGGCAAATTTCTCTGGTAAACAGGTAAGCTACACTGCGTGTATTCGAAGATATAACACTATCGGACCTTTGTACAATTCAGTCACCTGATGCACTGTCTGCATCTTTCAAGTGATTTCTTGAAAAGAATTTTCCATGCTCGTTTCTCCATTGGAACTCTGACCACGTGTCCAAATCACCGCAATTTTGACCCGTCGATAGGGAGTAGGAACGTCTTATATTTGAGGATATTTTGTGCTGCGGTGTTCTGGACATGTCGAATCTCATCTCTTTGCAACGACAGTCCTCTGAGGAAACCTCATTTCTGTTAACTGCATTCAGGATCGCATTCTTTTCGTCAGCTTTCAGCATTTCTGACCATAATTAAGCTCAGACGTGTATACAAACACTTGGCATTGCGGTTTTTCATTATTTACTCATTTTATTATTCTTCTTTGCCAGCAAAGCGAATAGAAGACATTTTTTTCGAAAGACTGAATAATTTTAAAGCTGAATTTGATGTTAGTAGATCAAAAAATTATTCACCACCGACATTAACGAAAATTTCGTCGAAAGTTTTTCATGTAGAAAAAGTCTTTTAGTAACTTTTGCTATTGTAATGGTGTGAATAACTTAAAATATCGTTAAAGTTTCTAGCTTAAAGGATGTTCAATGTTTTGTATAGAATTAATTTTAGTTAGAAAAATCTTTTTAAAACAGTTGAATTTGTTGTGATATGAGTGAAGAACGATGTGAAACTGCGAGGGGTTACCAAAAAATTAACAAAGACAGAAAACTCGATTGTTCACTCGAGTAGCTGACCTCTAATAAAAGGATCATGCCAGGAAAAAGAAGTGATATTTTTAAATTAAAGCTTTGATAACGTTCTCACTTTTTTTAAACTGAACATTACGGCCATACTGCCACTTTGCGATGACCTTCTTATGCCACGTTGGATAACTGTCGCTGCAACATTGTACTAATTATTCAGTAAGCAACAAGTTTTGACACCATCAACTAGAACAGTAGTCTGAAGTCGCCATCAGACTCGAAAAGTCGGCACATCAAATGTTACGTTAGAAAACGGTACGGGAGTATTTTTACAATGCAAGTCACTGAAACGCTTATTTTGGAGTTTTGATAACCGGAGCGCAATCCAATTTTCCTCGCATAACACGAATTTTAACTCCGATGAGGTCCGGTTTCCTGCCACCTTCGACCAGAACTTGGCTGTGCTCCTGCAGGTTGTGACCTTCGCCAGGAATCCACGCAACCGTCTCCTTTCCGGTACTTAATTTGACAAGAACGCATTTTCTGTTAGCGGAATTGGGCTTTTTCGGCTTTTTAATGAGCACCTTAAGTACTACAGCACGAAGCTGAGGATGACCCTGCATCGGTGACTTCCTTTGAGGTCTTCGCTTAGGTGGGCCACGTTCGTGCATTTGCTGCAAAGAAATACATCGCACCATATTGACCAACGGCGTAAACATTTTAGGTTTGTCAGTGGACAACATTTTACCGACTGGAGCAGTTAAAAACCGGAAGATAGGCATAAGCATATTGACATTTAAAGACTAAACATTCCTGGAAATACAAACGAATCAAATTAAAGCACAGCGTGTAACATGTCCAAATGACTATTTTTTACCAGCCCTTCGAAGGTATCACGCACATTTCAGACTTCTGCCTTCAAAAGTACTTCTGAAATGTTTAC